TTTATTTAAATTTTTATTCATTATTTAAATAATTTCTTTAAAACTGTGTCCTTAAACAAGATCACGAGGGAAAAAATATAGTATAAAAATCCCTATGGATTTTTGTTTGTTTTGTTTAATGGAAACAAATGAAATAAGATTTTGTTGTATTTCAACAAAATTATTTTAACTTCCTAGATAATGCTGGATTTAACTCCATTTACTGATTTGCTAAAGTAGATTTTCGAACTTTTTTTAAATACTAATGTTTAGTATGTTTTTTTTATTTACTAATGTTCTTATTTTTCTTAGTATTTGCATGGATGGATGGAATTAATAAAATTATATGGAGGGTAACCCCATTGGTTTTCCTTTAGAAAAATGTCTTTTTCCAAAGGAGCTACAAAAACTGTAGTTCTTATGAGCACAAATGGTCATAGTAAAATACTATTGCTAATTAAATGAAAGTGCTCTAAAAACCCAAGTTCAGTTAACCATTGCATAAATATGGAGGATGGAGGTCTATTTTATCTATACAGAAGAAAAAGTTATCTTAATGACACATTCAGAAATTCTTTCAATATACTGAAGTTTTCTTTAAAAGTTTTTTTTAATGTAAAAATCCTGTGATTTACCCCAGTTTTTAATTCTGTTTGAAACTCATGAAATTACATAATTTTAGAAAGATAAATGTAAACAGATGGGCCAGGAATATTTTTTACTTTTTTTATGAGGAGAGAGGCTGCTGGCTCTTATATTAGTACAATATCTTTCTAGCTAGAAAACATCATTAAGTGGCTGTGCTATAATAATATGAGTGATCTAAAATGTATAGTCAGAACATTACTACATAACATTATAGGGTGATCTCAGTGATCTTTACATACATGTGTTTATGCAGCATACGTAGAAACTTCACTTTTTCTGAGGACAAACAAAATTTGAGTTGTCAGTTGTTTCTTTGCTTTTGTAGATACAATTAAACCGGTTTGCTTTAAAATGCTAAATGCTACAGTCTTTCTTAGGAACACTGTAATACAGTGATAATAAATTGTTACCTTCACAATTATTTCTCAACTTTTTTTTTAAGGGTCAAGATGGATAGCACAGATGAACCTCAGAAAAAAGTCTTCAAAGCACGAAAAACAATGAGAGTAAGTGATCGACAACAACTTGAAGCTGTCTATAAGGTTAAGGAGGAGTTGTTGAAGACAACTGAAGTTAAACTGTTAAATGGAAAGCATGAGAATGGAGATTCTGATTTAAATTCCCCTTTAAGCAATACAGACTGTGTGGAGGACAAGAGGGAAGTTAATGGCCTAGTGGACTTGTCTGTTAACTCTGAAGGAGGAGGAACAGCTTCTGATGAAATTAGTGAAGCCAAAAGTCCTGAAAGTAGGGCAGGGAACATAGTCCATGACATAGAACCTAAACCTCTAACGCTGTCTCCAGAGAATGTTACTCCTGAGCAAGATAAAGATACGGATACTGCTTTAGCTTGTGAGGCTGAAAATGGGGTGCTTGGTAGCAATAAAGATAACTTCCATGAAGAAAATGATACAAAAGATCATTTGGACCAAAGAGAGTGTGACATCCCATTAGAAGATGAAAGTAAATCAATCTGTGATATTGGTGACTCTTCTGAAGAGAAGGGAGAAAGGAAGGACTTAACTATTAATTCTGATTCATCCAGTGAGGAAAAGAGGACTCAAAAAGCAACTGTTGAAGATGCTGTTGGAGAAGAAGCCATCTCTAGCAGTATGGAAGGTGACCAGGAACCAAAGGACAAACGAGATGGCATTGCAGGTCTTTCAGAAACCACTGTTCAGAAGATGATAGATGAGCCAAGTGAAAGTATCTTGGACAGTACTGACTCTATGGAAACAGATGAAATTATTCCAATTTTGGAAAAACTAGCCCCTGCTGAAGATGAACTGAGCTGTTTCTCTAAAAGTTCTCTGCTTCCAGTGGATGACACAGTCCCAGATTTAGAAGAGAAAATAGACAACTGTTTGGGTTCACCATCCAAGCAGGAAAGCAATGAAAGTCTGCCAAAAGAGGCTTTCTTAGTACTGTCTGATGAAGAGGATCCCTGTGATGAGAAGGAGGAACATGCTGAAGTGATACTACCAAACAAGTCAAATCCTCCAGGTAAGAGTTTTCTAAATTGGTAGTTCTGATTCAAGTCTGGGATTTTGTTCATTTCTTAGAATGACGCACTTGTGACATGTTTATAAATCAAAAAGTCTTACCCACCAATTCTGTGTTACAATTTTCAAGGATGGAATTTGAGGCAGAGAAAAAAATGAAAGTAACACGAAACAACTGTCATCTTAGAGATATGGTTTGTTTTGTTTTTTTTCTCATACTCTTTGCAAACTGGGATGGGATGGTGGGTGGAAGAAGAAAAGAGTAATTGCCAGACATAGAACAGAAAGATTTGTGCGAGAAGAAATGTGTTCGTTTAGTGTTCTTGAGAGGAAGAAAGGATTTGAACTTTAACACACAAATAAATAGTAAGAATGAAAACATGCTTGTAATCCAGGCATGGCACAAGTCACATTTGCTTCAGATTTCTTTTTTTCACTAAAAGACAATATTGGGAAGGTTTAATGAAAAACACAGATCATGTATGGTTTTCATGCCATATAGCTTTTATTCATTTAAGTCATGATAGGGTTTATCTAACTCTTATCTGATGACTATGCCAACTGATTAACATTTGAAAGTATTAAGTGTAGGAAGCTGGTACTTTAGTCTCTTCATGTAGTTAGAGGATTATTTTCTTTATATTAAACTGAACGGATGTCCTCTGTAGTCTATTATTGTCATGCAATTTTGTAAGCATACTTATTTTTGTGACATAGGGCGTTCATTGTCATACTGTTGCACTTACGAAAATAAAACATGAATAATTTACAGATAAGTTGACACTGCTCTTTTGTCTGTAATTAAGAAAGCTGTTGTTTCGAATGATCTTTGTTTTGGTTTGTTTTTTTTCTTTTTTCTCCCCATTGTATGGCTTTTTATGAAATTATGACCATGCTAACCCAAATGTGTTTAAACGTGCTTGACTGGGTAGGAATTTCATAGATAAAACAAGATTCAGGTGTCTTTCAGTCTCTGGAAAATTAGTAACCATAGTTTCTCAGCTCTTGTTTCACTAATGATGAAAATGTGTCTTTCACTATTGTATGATGACACTCTGAGTCTTCAGTCGCTAAATAACTAGTAGAAGGGATATAATAATGTCTCTTCAGCCGTGTTTCAGACTCTTCCTTCTTTTCTGGTATTTACCTTAAAATTTATGCCAGCTAAACAGAGAAAAGGTAGGTTCCATAGTTTTTTCTAAGGATCTTATTTAGGTGTTGCACTGAGATTGCAAAACTGGTACCACTGTTGTGCAATTAAAGTCTTCCAGAAACTATTTGCAGGTGGGGGTTGGCAAGGAGGAAAAACATTGTGTGTACTTCTGTCAAAACTGTAGTGTGATACAAGTCCCTTTTTTTATAAAATGTATGTTACAAATAAATTTGCGATCCTTGTTCTTACTGCAGTTTAAGGGTTCTTTCATTGGAGATGAATGAAATTAGAATATCAGGGTTACTTTTTTCATCTTACACAATGTGAAAACACACAGTGGTCACAGAGCAGTTTTTGCTCTGGAGCAAAAAGACCAAAGTCAATATTAAATATTGGACTACAGTTTGCAGAAGTCTAAAATTATTGTATCCAGTAGTATTTTCTTCAGGTTTTCAGTTTTGGTGACAGGACGAATTCTCTTGACTAGTTGTGTTATTTATTGGCTATAACAGTTTGACTTTTACAGTTGCATGGCTGTAACTGAGACTGTTAAACAAAAACGGGCCACTGTGAAGTATGTTCTGTATTTAACCAGCAGTCACCTGTTAATTTCTGCGTTCTAAGCTTCATGAAGCTTGCCCGTCAAGTTGCAGAGAAGGAAATTTAATTTTTTTTCGGAATAGTACATTCTGTGTGAAATATTTCAAGCAAATCTTTTGAGGACCCCTTTTGTACTAAATTTGAGATGGTATTAATGGAAAAATTTTGCAGTCCTTCCACCAATTTCAATCTTTCAATAGCAAAGAAAATAGCAGAGATGGTGCAGGGGCAGGAAACAATTGTATGAGAAAACAGAGTTGTCTTAGAAGATAAAAACTAACTTTTGGAAAGAGTCTGTGAGGATTAAATCTGTGGAGAGAGTATGGAGATCACTTGAAGATGCTATATTGAAGGCACAGGTGCAAGCTGCTCAATTAAAAAGTAGAGTTTTCAAAAAGCCCAGATGAAAGCCAGCATGGCTAAACAACAATGTGAAGAATGGTACTAGAAGGCTTTCTTCAGATGGGCAGATTAATAGAATCTTTTTGTCCAGTAGAATTAGTGAATATAATAGTTATGTTGGCGGTTAAGATTTTTGTAACGGAAGATCATACATAGAAAACCACGGAATTCTTCAGGTAAGTAAACAAGCACATGACAAGGAAGATCTGATTGATATATTTGAATTCTTCTGAATACCAAACACACAACTTTTTACCAAGAACTTTTGGAAACTGAACTGTCTTCGGAAGACAGAAGATCCTCATGGAAGAAATAATCTTCTGAAGAATTGAAAGGAAATCTACAGTGATCTGTTGCAGAGACTGTGTTGTGTGGCAGAATTAATAATTTAGCTAAAATGAAGGGTGACTAGCAGAGTGACAGTTTGCTGATGATACTATGAATAGCTGTAGAAGAATCTCACAATGCTGAATGACTGGGGTATAAAAATGGCAGATGAATCTCATTGTGCTTAACTACAGAGTGGTATAGATGAATACAAAAATGGTCATAACTTGATAAGAAGATAGAACTGACTTACCACTCAAGGACAATTTTCCAGGATTATAGAAGGTAGCTTTGTGAAGACATTGATACAGTAACAGTTGAAGATAGCAAATAAAGAATACTGGGAATAAATTAAGAAATTGAGAAGAACTTCACTATGGGACATCAAGCTCTTAAATGTTTTGTATAATTCTGTTTCTTTTCCCCTCCCTGTATCAAAGATGTTACAGAACTGGAAAAGGTGCATGAAGGAGCAACAGGGAAGATCATGGAACTGCAGAGTAATTTTAATTCAATCCTCTGATGGTCTTTATTCCAGCTCCCTACTCAAAGCAGGTCTAATTATATCAGATGGTTGAGGGACCTTGGCAGTTAATTTTTGTGTATCTCGAAGGATGGATATACCACAAGTTTTTCTTGAGTAGCCTAATATTTAACCAACTTCAACAGTGAAAAACTTTATGCTTAATTGGAATCTTCTGTGTTCCAACTTGTGTCCATTGCCTCCTGTCCTTAGAGAAGTGTCTCCATCTTATCTCTGCCCTCCCATTATGTAATGAAAGGCAGCAGTACAATCTCCAACTAGTCTTCACTTGTTAAGGCTGAGCAAAGCCGCTTCTGTCACCTGTTCCTCATACAGCATGTACTTCACTTCCTTGACCTTTCTGGTGACCATCCACTGGACTTGCTGTGGTTTTGTCAGTGCCTTTCTAGTACTGGAGATCCAAAAAACGGACATAGTGCTCCAAATAGGGGTTTCTCAAGTGCTGAACAAAGGAGAATCACTTATCCTGCTGGACACATTTCTTGTTAATACAGCCTGAAATGCTATTGAACTTATTTCACACTGCTGACTGATGTTCAAGTTGTTTTCCACCAGGAATCAAAGCCTTGTTCTACAGTGTTACATTTTAGCCAGTCAACCCCCAGCCTGTCCTATTGCATTAGGGTTATTCTAACCCAGATTCAGGGCTAATCATTTGTACTTGCTGCACTTTGTGTTCACCCATTTTTCCAGCCTGTCAGTGTGCCTCTGAATAGCAGCTATGCCCCACAGAATATTTACCACTCCCTCCAGTTTGTGTCTGCGAACTTGCCAAGTGCAGTCTTCTGCCCACAGGTCCAGGTCATTAGTAAATACAATAAACTGCATCAGCCCAGTCTGGCTTCCTGAGGACTGCCTCCAGTGGTGAACCACCAGATGTACTACATACCACTGATGCCAATTCTTTGAGCCCACTGTAAAAAGCTACTAGGTCTGTCAGGCACAGTTTGCCGTTACTATATCCAACTGGCTACTCCCAGTCACCTTTCTATCCTTTGTGTGCCTGGCAATGGCTACCTATGAGTATTTTTTCCCATAACCTCCCCAAGATGTCAGGTGAGGCCAACCAGCCTGTAGTTTCTGTGAATCATCGTCCTTGACTGTCTTGAAGATGGCTGTGACAGTTCTCTTTTTCCAGTCATCAGGAGCTTCCCTTGGTTGCCGTGAAGATTATAGAGAGGGGCTTTGCAATGCCGGCAGCCTACCTCCCTCAGCACTCTTGGGTACATCTCATCTATTCCTGTGGACTTCTCTATATCCACCTGGTTTAAGTGTGCCCTAGCTCTATCTCCTTGACTGTGGATAGCACTTCACTTCTGCAGACTCTGCCAGAATCTCTCCCTCTGCTCTCAGCAACTTAGGAAGAAAACTTGCCAGTGAAAAATGGAGACAGAAAAGTTGAGTACATCAGCATTTTCCATGTCCTCAGTTATTAGGTTGCCTGCCCCAGTGAGCAGTGGCCACACATAATTTTCCATAGCCTTCCTTTTGCTGCCATTGTAGTTACAGAAGCTCTTCTTGCCCTTCACATCCCTCACTGGCTTCAATTCCATGTGAGACTTGGTTTTTCTTACTCCATTCCTGCACAACTGGATAATGTCCCTGTATTCCTCTTACTTCCTCTTCCTATGTAATTCTTTTTTATATTGGAGCTCTGTCAGGAAGTCCCTGTTCACCCATGCTGGCTTTCTTCCATGCTGGCTGTACATTCTGCACATTGAAATGAGCTATTCTCATGCCTTGAGGAAGCTGTCCTTGAAGAACTACCAGCTCTCCTGGGTATTTTTGATTTCCAGGGCAGCTCCCTTTGGGACACTACCAAGTAGGTCCTGAATAAGGTGAAATCTGCTGTCCTTAGGGCAAGGACATGATGTTCATCCCGCTTACTTCTTGCAGGATTTTTAATTCCCCAGTCTTACGGCTGTTGCAGGTGAACCTACTCTTGACCTTCCATGTCCCAGACCAATTCTTCCTTGTTTGTGAATAACAAACCCAACAGAGCATCTCCCCTAGCTGACTGATCAGTTGCCTGTGTCAAGAAATTGTTTTCAGCATGTTCAGGAAACCACCTGGATTGTGCCCAATCATACAGCCTTTCCAGTTAAAGTATACCCATGAGTCAGTCCTAAGGCCTGTGATTATGTGAAATGGCTCTATTGACTTCCTCTCCTTGTTCAAGTAGTCTGTAGTGAGTGCCTAGCACAACATTGCCCATGTTGCTTTTCTGCCTTCTCCTTGCCCACAAGTGCTCAGCTGGCTCATCACCTGTCCCATGGCAAAACTCTGGGCACTCTTCTGTGCACAACCAACTCCTCACCCTTTCCAGCCTGTCTTTCCTAAAGAGACTATGTTCATCCATTGTTATGCTGTAGTCATTTCAGCTATTCCGCTATGTCTCTCTGATCCAAATGACATCATAATTTTGCAGTTGTGTAGTGACTAGCGATTCCTCTTGTTTCTTGTGCTGCATTCATTTGTTTACAGATACTTGAGATGATGAAAACTTCCACTGATGAAGACTGGACGACCTCTCTGGGCAACCTGTTTCAATGACTCTCTTCATGTTGGGAATGTTTTTCTTTCTATCAGTTGGAATCTCTTGTTTCTGCTTACACATGGTTTCTCTTACTGTTTGCCATGCAGCTTTACAATGAGTCTGACTTCATATTCTCAAAAGCCACCTTAAGGTATAGGAAAGCCTTAAGGTATAGGAAAGGTATAGGTTTTTAAGTCCCCATTAAGCTTTGTCTTCTCCATGCTGAACAAGCCCAGCTCCCTCAGCATCTCTTACAGGTCATGTTCCCCAGCCCCTTAGCAGTCTCTTGCTCCTTACTGAGAGATGGCATAATGAGTGCTAGGTAAAGGGCAATAACCACTTCCTATGGTGTACCGGCTCTGTTCCTGTAAATGCAGCTCACAATGCTGTGGACCTCCTTTGCTGCCAGGGCATGCTGTTGGCTCATGCTTTGCTTGCTGTCTGTGCGAGTTCTCAAAGCAGAGCTCCTCCCCAGCCATGTGGGCCCTAGCCTGTGTCACTGCAAGGGTTCTCACTTCCCAGGTGCAGAACTTCTGTATTTGTCCTTGTTGAATATCACAAAGCATTTCTCATCCCATTTCTTCAGCTTGTCTTAAGTCATGATGATTCATTTGAAAATAGATGAATCTATGATTTATTCCTAAACAAAAATAGTCAAATCCTGTCACATTTCATGGGAAAAATCTGTATTTCTGTTTTGTAATAACTTCTGGATAGAGTTTGATCAAGGATTCACTACTTAGAAAGGCTGTGCTTTTGTACTTTATTGTGATTAATGTCTGTGCTCATCAGTTCTAGCCAATCTGTAAGGAGAATGTTGCAGTTACAGGATTATAGAATAGTGAGAGTATGACTCTGCAATCCAGAGTAACTTGCAAATACTGTTCAGATGCTCTTAGGCTTACTCAGTATTTTTATTTCCATTTATATGTATGTTTTGGCAGAACTGACATGCAGATATGTATCCAGTCAGTTACTAAGCAGATCTAAATGCTTGCAGCTGTAGAAATTATTAAAAGGTATTTTCAGCTGTTTAGTGACAGGCAAATACCAAGTAAAAAAAACCCACCACCACCTTTGTGTTCAGATCCATGCAAATAGTGTGACTTATTAAGACAACTGTGTGATAAATACAGTGATAACTTAATGATATAATCAAATTACTGGTTTTTTAAAGGTTACATTAATTGCTTCTGCCTGTCTAGCATTGAGATAATAAGTGAAAATAGATAATATTGAAGATAATCAGTGAAGATAATAGTGAAGATAATCAGTGAAAAATAAGCTGATAGCCAGATGTAAAATTATCTCTGTATTATGGCTTGAACCTTCTTAACTAGAGAAATTTAGCTGGGCATCATGTTTAAACCACTTTTAGTTAAATGAGCTAAATTTGTTCACAGTGTGATGGAAGTTTGTAAGGAAAGGACTTCCTTATCCCTAGCATTACTTTGTTGTCTACATAGAACTCAAAAATCTCAGCTTTGGAACTTGTAACATGATATTTTAAAGACATTCTAGGTATATGTATCTTTCCATGGAATATTTGTATCTTTCAACTGAATATTAAAAACTGTAAATTGTGGGAAAAGTACTCTTGAACTTAATGACTCTCCTTTAGATTCTTAGGTAAATGAGTCCTGTTTTATTGATAACAATTAAATATATGATGCTTACCTATAAGCCTTAAAGTAGGTGGCATTGGCACTGGCACTGTGGTATTTTATTACCTTAAAAATAAATCAGCTTGTCTTTGAAGAATTTATGAGTATTATTTTGTGTATAAAGTAACAATGAAAAATCTCATAATTTCAGTTTAGTGTTAAGAGAGCGTCAAGCATATCTTTGCAGCCAGAACTTTCTCTAAAGAAGCTAGTAAACTCTGCTGTAATGACAAAATGAAAATATTAAATTGGAGAAGTGTACAGATCAAGATGTGCATAGCAGTACTGACTTGTTTTGTTATATTCTGAACAGATTTTAATGTAGTCTTAAAAGTAATAGTTTTATGTTGTATCTAGCAAGCACAGGAGGTGGCAAATACAGCCTGTGTGAAACACATAATGGAAGTTTATGGAACATACCATAAAAGTTTTCAGGAAGTGTTAGCATTTTTCATTTTAACCTGTGTGCATTTGGGAGTGCTATTACAGATTTTTCTTTATTTAAGAATTTCCTGAACTGTACGTTTTTAAATAACTGGTCTTAAATTGTGGTACTTTATATTAGGAAGAAACTTTAAATGAAAGTTCTTATTTGTTAAGAAAAGAATTTAAGCTTTTTCTACCATAAAGATTATGGGTGAATTTGCCAATTGTAAATAAATATATTAGTATTTTGTTACTGAAATTTGTATACTTTTTTCGTAGGTAAAAAATAAACTAAAATAATTTATTGAGAACTTTAACTACATTAAAAATACATCATTTCAGAGGTAACTTTGAGGCATTGTGTTGATTTTAAAGCTAAGCAAATCCAGAAGTGAATCTTACTGTGTTGTATGGTAGTTCAAATTTTTACTCTGAGGGTATCCTCTGACTTTTTTCATCTCTGCATTCATTCCGTGTCACACTTATTTCTTTCACCTTCCCCAACATGTTTTTTCATAAGTATTCTAAGTTCACTAGTGAAAACAGGACTCTTATGAGAGTTTTGTAGAACAGCATAAGTAACACATGGTGGTTTTTCTTCTGTTTGTAGAAGTGGAAGAGGAGAAAAGAAAGGAGAGTGAGGAGGATAAAGAAGAAGAAGCCCACAAAGAAGAGGAGAAACATGCAGAGAGAAGTACATAACATTAAAACTATTATGCTTTGCTGGTGGCACGTGTTAGAAACACAGAATTGTTGAGGCTGGAAGGGACCTTTGGAGACTGACTAGTCTAAACCCCCTGCTCAAACCTAGGTCAACTAGAACAGTTTGCTCAGAACCATGTCTAGACAGATTTTGAGTATCTCCACAGATGGAGACTCTACAACCTTCCAGTGTTCCACTTCCAGTATTTGACCACCCTCATAGTAGAAAAGTTTTGATATGTTTGAATGGAGCAATTTTCGATTCGCATCCATTTCTCTCATATTTTCACTGGTACTCACTAAGAGGCTTGCCCCTCTCCACCCATCAGGTAATTTACACACATTGTAAAATCTTCTCTAACCACCTTCTCCAGTTAACAGTGCCAACTCTCACTTCCTTGTGTGAAGGATGGTCCAGTCCAGAAAACATCTTGGTGGCGCTACACTGAGCTCTCTCCAGTATGCTCACGTGTTTCTTTTATTTAGAAGCCCAGAACTCGACACAAGACTCAAGGTTAAGTTTCAGAGCAGTGATTAGAGGGGAATAATTACCTCCCTCGACCTGCTGTAGATACTCTTCCTCAGGCAGCCAGGGATGATGTTGGCCGCCTTTGCCAACAGGGCATGTTGCTGACTCATGTTCAACTTGATGTGTATGAAGACCACCAGGGCCTTTTCTGTAAAGCTGTTTTCTTGCCAGTTAGTTCCCAGCCTGTACATGGGTTTATTCTTACCCAAGTGTGTTTCCTTTTGTTGAACTTCATGAGGTTTCAGTTTGCCAGTTTCTCCAGCTTGTCAAGGTGACTCTGAATGCCATCTAGTGTTGCAACGCCTCCTTCCAGTTTTGTATCATCGGCAAATAGCCGAGGATGCCCTCTATCTCATTATCTAGATCATTAATGAAGATGTTAGTGTTGGTATCAGTATCATCTGCTGGTGTACATTCCTAGTGATGAGCTCCTACTGGACTTTGTGCCACTAATCATGGCTCTTGGAGCCCAGCAGTTGAGCCAGTCCATTTATCTAGGCTATACGTCATGAGTTTGTCTCTGAGGATGTTTCGGGTGTCAGAAGCAGTACTAGACAAGATAAACAGCATCCACTGCTCTCCCCTCTGTACATCTGCAGGCAGAACGGGAGCTGCTGTCCTGGTGGCTCCAGCCTTTGTCATCATGGGAGTCTCCATTTCCCATCTGTATAAGCTCAGGCTCTATACCTCCTTTGATACAGCTGGGGGTGCAGTTCTTGAGGCTGCAGGATCTTGGAGTATATCCAGTCATAGCTCCTTTAACTTGGCAACTCAGCTGTCCCACTAGTTTGTACCTTCTGTAGCCAACAAGCTCATCTCCCTCTGCCATAGCCTCAGTCAGAATGGGAGGCCCTAAGAAAATCCCTGCAGCCCAAGACTTGCAAAGCCCTATTTTCCCCCTAAGTAGCTTAGTCTGGAGGCTCTGACATTACTGGGAGAGTTGTTGCAGTGGCTGCTGGAGACCACAACGTGTGGCACATCACCAGCATTACTCAGTGCAGGGACCGTGACACCCTCCTGTGCACCCCACTGTACAAATTCCTCTGTTTGTTAGCTGCTCTCTGGGAGCTGTGCTCTAGGTCCAGCAGCAATGTTGGCCTCTCCCTAGTACCTGCTGAAAGGATGTTTGAGCTTCCATAAGGAGTTGGCTGGAACATAAGCACAAAGCACGCTTTGATCAAGAACAGCTGACACAGCTCATTAGAAGCTGCTAGAGTTTCCTAGAAGTCACAGCCTCCTTTAGATACCCTTTCCACTAGTAGCAAGCACTCTGAAGCTCTTCAAAGAGAATCTAACTGCAGTAAAATTAGATGTATCATCTGCTTCAGAACAAATTACCTGAACATTAAACATGTTCTGTTAAATACGTAAGTAGCTCTTGCATGTTACAAACTGCTTGTACTATTCAGTGGTCAGGCTTTTTCTAAAGAGACTGACTGGGAGTAGGAAAGAGTTGTATGGAAGATCCTAATAAACTTGTCTTCACTAGTCTTCTGACTATTCAGATTTATTTTATTTCTACAAGTTTTTCTGATGGATGGAAGAAAGCTGGAGATGTAGCTCTCTTTTTCTCTCTTCGTTTTCCACTGTTTGCTGTCATTCTGGAAAAAAAAAAAAAAGAAAAATTCATAGCTTAGACATTTGTATTGCTTGCAGATATTCAGCATTCTGCAAATGTTTATGAAGAGCCCTATGGCCCTATAAAACTTACCTAAAATTTGAGGACCTATGCTTTCACAAACTTTTAAAAATTATCTAGGTTGTCATGCAGATTTTTATAATATTACTTATTAATGATTTTTAGTACATTAGTGCATTTTTAGTGCAACTCAAGAAAAAATCGGATCAGATTGAAATGATTAGAAATCTAGCTATCAAAAAATCAGACTATAAGAAATGGGTGAAGTTAGAAATATGCCTCACAGAATGTATGCAATACAAGAAAAAATGACAGTGAAAAGTAACTATTTGTTAGGCTATTTCAGTCTCCAGTGAATCTTCGTTGACGTACTACTAATTCTGTCTTTCTGTGTCATCCTCAGGTTTGGGGTGGAGGGGTTGGGGGCTGTGGTCTTTGGTGTTTTGATGGTGGTCAGGTACCCACAGTATGCTCTGTAGCTTCCCTTCCTTTAAATGTAGGCTTGTTGTTTTATATGTGGGTCTCTAAAGGATACAGTGCCAGGAGCTGGAGGAGTGAATGAGGTCTCTGGTTCTTTCGTACTTCATCACTGCAATGAAAATGACTTTTATAATAGAGCTCTGCTTTGAGCCTCTTATTTTGTTAGACTTTTACTTTCCTCCTTACCCAAGAAGTAAGAAAAATGTTTGAATGTTTTTTCAGTTGGGGACTGGTTAAAACTTCACAGCAGGTAGAAAAAAGTTCATTGCTGACACTGGCAGAATGAGATGCAGTTTTATTTGACTGGAATCCTGAGGATTCCTTTTTCAGAAGAGAGTTTTGTTTTGCTTCTCAGAAGCCATGTTTCACTATAGGATGGTGCTGATAAAAGCAGGAAAAACTGGAGGCAAGTTCTGGAGGACGGAGTGGGAGTACTAGAGCCATTTTGCATTTGGGGCAGTGGTTTGGTGAATCACAAAGCAGAACTCACTAGCAGGGCAGCAATGTACAGAGACCAAAGGGACTGTTGTTCTGCTTTGATGTCATCAAACATCTTGTTTTTCCAAAGGCATTCTTACTGGTTTAGAATGAAAAAGCTTAAACTTGAGGACAAATCAAACTTCATAATAATCATGGCATTTTGCAGATACCTGATTTTTTCAAAGGTTCCTCACGAGCAGTTGTATCTGATCATTCCAGGTGAAGCATCAAGGAGAAAGCGTTCCAAATCTGAGGACATGGACAGTGTTCATTCTAAACGTCGTCGGTACATGGGAGAAGATTATGAAGCCGAACTCCAAGTAAAAATTACAGCCAGAAGGGATGTTGACCAAAAATTACAAAAGGTAGAGTGGAGGTGCAGAGTGAAGATAGCAAACACACACCATCTTTGAATTAGCTATCCTTTTCCACACGCTCCCTGCCCCTCCAAACACTTTCTCTTTTTTGTGGTTGAAAATTGTATGTAATTCAAATAACGTAGGTAGCTTAATTCATACAAGGTCCTATTTAGCCCTGCTTTTAAGAAGTATATAAATATAATTTGAAAACTATGCTGCAAGAGTTATATTTGAAATGTGTCACGTATTTAAACTCTTAAGTCGCGTGTGACTAAAATGGAAAATCTTAGCAAAGGAGGTATTTCAGTGTGGTAAAGGTTTATATGTGGTGCGCTATATTGTGTTCCCAGCTTTAAAGAAAGTCTCTCTCCAAAGGAGGATGCAATCAACATAGCATCTTGCAGATCTTTATAGAGCTGTTAATTGCCTGATTGCACTATTGGCATGTAAAGAAACCTGTGGTCTTGAAGTTAGCTAGTGTGTGTTTTAACTTCATTAACGTAGGATGCAGAAAACTGAACCATGTTTGCTGCTTGTTTGCTTTTGTTTCCTAAGAAAATGTTTTGCACTGCAATAGGTGTGGCAGGAAGAAAAAAAATTAAATAATACGTGTAACAAGTAAACTTTGTGGAAATCAGTCTCTTCTTTTTCCATTTTTAGCTTCTACAAGAAAAGCAACACATTTGCTTTCTGGGGGAAATGCATCTTGGAAATAAAATTTTGTTGAAAGTCTTTAGTTTCTGTTCTTTGAATGCAGATGTCCCTCTCAAGAACAGAAGAGTAAGAGGAAAAATTAATTTCTGCAAACACAGCACTTCATGAAAATATCTTCTGTTGTTAAGGTTATTTTTATATGAAATAAGGTTTTATACACTTATATATACTTAGAAAATTAATTTATTGAATTAATGGCAAAGAGGGACCGTTTGTATTTGCCAAAATAGCTGTAGAAACTTTTCTTAGCTGTGCAACCATGTGCTTATTGGTGACTGCAGGTTTATTCAACAGGGCACAACCGTTGTCATTTGTAGCAGAATGCTTGTTAAGAGTTGAGAATATTTTTATAGGTGGTCCTGCAAATTCTGGGATTGCACTGTTACTTTTTAAAATAATAATAATTTTGCAGGTTATCCAGAGACTGTTAGAAGAAAAACTTACAGCTTTACAGTGTGCTGTATTTGACAAGACTCTGGCGGACTTGAAAACCCGAATAGAGAAAGTAGAATGTAACAAGAGGCATAAAACTGTGCTTACTGAACTACAGGTGAGTGTTTATGTGTTGAACTGCATACTAGAGAAAAATAAGTTCCTCAACATTTAGTAGTAAGTCTCCTGTAGTTGTCAGTAGGGAAGCCATTTTGACCCCACAATGGGAAGGTGGGGAAAGCAGCAAATACTAATGTTGCTTTTGAGTTGTAAAATTCTGTTTCCTTACTTAGAAAAAAGCAACCAACCAAATAATCATCAAAAAACCCCAAAGCAAATCTTCCTTATGGTAAACTGATTCATTAGCTGGTAGTAAACCGCTTTTCCGCTCTTCTGTTCCATTTAGACATTCTTCAAATAAATGTTAAGTATGAAAATATCTAATGCCTCTATGAAGCCAGAAATTTGCTTAAAAACAGAAGAGTGCAGAAAGGAGAGGACAGTAGCTCTGGACTTTGTAGAATGTTCAAAAAAAAAAGAAACACCACATAATATTTATCCATGTTATTTTCCCAAAAACTAAATAATTATTTTCTAGCAAGGAAACAAATAGCTAGTGTTGAATGCAGTATGCTTTCTTGCGTTCTCTATAGAAATGATGTACATAGTGGTGAGATGAGGAACACCACAAAAATCAAAGACTTTTGAAGTGACAATTAAGAGCTTATGTCATAACAAATTCAAACAATAAGGCCATTTTACTTTTAACATAAAAAATACGGAGTTTTCCAGACCAGTGTGTACTACATAACTCTACCCCCTCACCACCCCAAACACTTTATGTTTACTTCTTGTTAAGTGCTATCTAAGATGCTCTCAGTATAATAGTTTATCAGTCAACTACAGTGTTAATAACATTGTGTAAGGCTGTGAATGTGTTGATGTTAATATACTCACAGTCTAAGCTTATATGTTTTATTGTACAAGGGGCTCCAAAAGACATTACATTGTAAATAACAGAAATTGAAATATACATCTAGTTAAAGGCAGACTATAATTGTAGCCTGTTGTGTTGCTTTGTAAAAACGTGAGAGAGGTGAGGTTTCTGAATGGACCAGCTCCTTTTAGGTAAGACGTTCTGAAATCATGGTATCTGATACGCACTGATTTTTTTTAAAAACTTCCATTCCTCTAGTGCTAACCTAGTCTATTCAGGAGTTAATAAAAATAATTTAATTCTTTTGGGGCAGGCGGGGGAGGAGAAAAAGTACCCACTAAGAACAAGTGGCACAACTACTACCTGCAGAATAAGTCAGCCATCAGAACTGCAACCTAGACAGGGTAATTAGGATCTTGTAATGCTGAGGTAATTACAGAAGGAATGGTCACCAAATAGTATATTGAGGGAAGCACAAGAAGTGAAAGACAAGATGTAAGAATGGTGCTTAAGAAGATAATGAACTTGACACCTAAATGTCAAATAGAGTAGAACAAAGCTGTGACAGTAAGGTGTGCGTGATACCTAGTGTATCACTGAGAGGAGGAAATAGGATAAATAGGGAAAAAGTAGATAATATGAAAGGCAAAAAGGGGTGCATTTTTCAATGTGGTTGGTACATAAGGCATTAAAACAGTCAAATGCTTTTCAGTTGCTTTCATTCATGCAGAATATTGCATGAACGTCTGCAAGATGGATTCCGTTTCTGCAATTGTGAATAGGGAGGAAAATAATTTCAGTTGTCTCTTAAGGTCTCTTCATTGGGATACACGTGTGTGTCTTTCTGCTGCTCTGAAGTAATACCCAGTTGTACTGTACTTCAAGGAAGAATAATTTTCCCTGATATGAAAATAGCCTTTGACTTGATGTCTTTATTATGTATCTTACAGTTTGTATAATTTCTTTGATGGTTCTTGGGGAGGATATTTACAGTTTTGTTTGTTTTCATTTTCTTCCCATCTAGGCTAAAATTGCTAGATTGACAAAGCGGTTTGGAGCGGCCAGGGAGGACTTGAAGAAAAGACAGGAAGTAAGAACTAGATTTTTTTTTTTTATACTTGTTTTTCTGAGTTAGCCCTAACCATCGTGTTGAAAAATAAAGAAATGTTACATGCAGAAAGATATGACTTGGTGGTTCAGTGGTGTTCACAAAGTAGGTTTGTCTTGTTTGGTTAAAGACAGTGATATGAAAGAATAGTCTTTTAACATCTGTTATGTAATTCTGATTTGTATAGAACATTATTTAGGCATTGTTAGTGTGAAAGCCCTTAAACTGTATGTAAGTAAATCTAATTTACTTCAATATGATGAGTACAGAGTAAAGAAAAGTGAATCCCAGTACCTTGATTTTGTTGGGGGTGGAGGGGGGAAAGGAGAGGACTGGATACAAACAATAGTATTTCTATGTTGAGAATGAATATTTTGGATTAATTACTGTTAAGAAATGGAAGCTAAAAGTCCATTAATGTTCAAGAAGAAATTTTGATTCTCATACTATAAAAACCTGAAGGCAAGAGACTTATATAAAGGGAAGGATGTAGGAAAGAGAGACAGGTAGGACTGAGGTGGTTTTGGAAGGGTTGTAAAATGTGTCAAGTTCTCCTGCAGTGTTGGCTCCAGAAAATGTGTTTCTTACACAGAAATGAATGAATATGAAATACAGTGAAAGCATAAGTTTGCAAGCTGACTGCTGGTTGATTTGGTTTGACTTTTCCCTTTTTTAACTAACTTTTTTTTTTTTTTTTAAAGAATTCACCAAATGCACCTCTGTCTCCAGGGAAAGCACCAAGTGACACTGCAAACACAAACAATGTGACATATCGGTAAGCAAACCACATCACTGTGACCATGTTAAAATTTATAGTAGGACACTTGAAATACCTAATGTAATGGATAATCCCTGTATTTTCTTTTTTTAATTAAAGTGCTCTTCCTTTTCCTTCATTGCTCTTCAATTGTAAAATTCAGTTTTCTTTCACAGAAGTCATAAATGGACAGTATTAAATCCATTCTTAGGTAAACTGAGATGAGTGTTTCAGCAGCTAAAAAATAATGATTAAAAATGGAAGTTTAATTTCAAGGAAGGGAAAATTCTGATGGTGAAAGGCAAACTTGGTGCAAGCACTTGAAAATTTACAAATAAATCTGCCCTTTTTTTTTTTTTTTTTTAGTAGGGGAATATCCAAAGTTAATTTTCATGGCGAGCAGAAGATAAATGAGTTTAGAAAATCTCAGTGAAAAGAATAGCTGTAAAATAACGGGTTTTTTCATCATTGTACTGTTCATAGTTACAGCTGGTGTGGCTTATTAAGAAATGCTAACTGAAACTTCATTCCATAGAAATGCTGGCACAGTGAGACAGATGCTGGAGTCAAAAAGGAATATAGCAGAGAGCACACCTGTGACTTTCCAAGCCCCTGTGAATGCAGGTAAGAAACTGCTTATGGACTACAAACACACTTCTTAAGTTTTATTGCTTTCATTAAATAAGTAACTAACTGAACAGAGTAAAACTGGGGTTTATGACTTTTTTTTCCTGACCTCAAAAATCATTATTCTTAGCTCTCTACCACATTTCTAGTTTATATTTGCGTAGTGCGCTTACCATCTAAGGGAAAAAAACGTGTTGATTTGGCCAACCGGCACAAGTGGGTAAATTAGATGCTTCAGCAGACTGCTTGCCGGGCATGGCAGCAAATCTTGTGGTCTCTCAGCTGCTGAGAAGTGAAACACACGGCTCCCAGGTCATATCATGCTGATATCTTCCCCTCTAACTATTGGCTACAGAAGTTGAGTGAGGATCTAAAGGTAGTCACAAACCTAATTTCTTAAGGGAATCAAGTTGAAAACTGGAATTCCTAGAATAGAATTTTATAGGGAATGTAGAATCAAAACCACCAATAATTACATTCATTGTAGTCACACTATGCTTGGTCTTAAAAATAATTTACTTAATATTGAATGCTGAATCTTTTCCACAGAATTCTCCCATAGTAGGCATGTATACTGGCTTTTTGTAGTGTATTATGCTCCTTATCTTTAGATTTAATCCTGAAATTTTGTTGCATAAAAGCGAGTATCTTCTCTGACACATTAATTGTTGGTTTCAGTAGAACCTTCAGGTTATAAGGTCCTAACTATACAGAGCAAGTTAGTCATAACTGACTTAGTTTTTCTTTTCTTGTGTTTTCTGAAGGATGACCGGTTGTTCTATTTCTGCAACAAGTCTTTAAAATGCCGTATTTCATGTGTTTTCAACAGTTAAATCTTGGAGTCTTCTTCAAGCCTGTGTGTGTCATAGTTGTTTGTGTATCTCTCTTGCCATTTGTATACAGTTCTTTCAAAAAGAAATACAGTATTGACTGTATCTTTAAGCTATTGAATATCAGAATGTACAACAGAAAAAGAGTATCTATAGCCTTTTTTTGCAGAAAGTTAGTCATATACCACATTTTTCGCAGAATCATAGAATGGTTTGGCTTGGGAGGGACCTTTAAAGATATCTAGTCCCACCCTCCTGCCATGGGCCAGGACATCTTTCACCAGATCAGGTTGCTCAAAGCCCCGTACAACCTGACTTGGAACTCTTACAACAATAGTGCATTCATAACCTCTCTGGACAACCCATTCCAGTGTCTTATGACTCTCATCATAAATCGTTTCCTGTTTGTTGTGTCGGAGTGAAACTTCCCACTTGGTTCAAATACTTCTTTTTTTTTTTTTTTTTATTATTTTTTTGGTGTAGTGCCAGCATCCAGTCTTGCTGCTCCTCCAACAATTGTGAGTGGACATCCTAAGCCTCAGACTCCGGTGACCTCCACCAGCTCTTTGACAACAACAGTTATTCCCACTGCTAATACAGCTACAGTTGTAGGCACTAACCAAGTGCCCAGTGGCAGCGCGCAGTCAGTGTCTGTCTCATTGCAGTCTTTGCCCGTAATCTTGCATGTACCTCTTGCAGTGTCATCCCAGCCTCAGCTCCTGCAAGGCCACACAGGGACTTTGGTCACTAACCAGCAGTCAGGCAACGTTGAATTTATATCCGTACAAAGCTCATCTACAGTTGGTAGCCTTACCAAAACTACAGTGTCTTTGGCATCGACTAACCCAACTAAACCAAATAACAGCCCATCTGTGCCCAGTTCTGGTATTCAAAGGAACTCTCCAGCCACTGCTGGGTCAATAGGCACAACATTGGCAGTACAGGCTGTTTCTACTGCACATCCTGTTGCCCAGGCTACAAGGACTTCTTTGCCCACAGTGGGTACTTCAGGACTTTATAATGCTACCAGCAGTCGAGCCCCCCTACAGATGAAGATTCCCCTCTCTGCATTTAGTAGTACAGCTCCTATTGAACCACCCACCGTTACAGCGCCCAGAGTTGGTAAGTTATGCTTGAATGTTGACAGTGGGAAAGGAAAATAGTTGTCGAAGGGAACCACAAAACTCCACTCCTGTGCGAATTTATTAGTGTATTTTACTGAAATGTTTCTTCTGGGTTGCCTTTCTTTTGAAATTGTCAAGATCACAATCTTGAATCCCAATCATGGAATTTTGATTAAATCACTTCTGTCATAGATGTGTTTCAGCCATCTCTCCTTAGAAGGAGGAGTCAGTAGTGTGGCTCTGTAAGCTTGGGGTTTTTTATTTTATTTGTATAGTTCCTAGCATGAAGTCAGAAACTCCTATTCTACCATTAACAACTTGGTATTTATTTTTAATACAGCCTGTCAAAATAATCTGGCTACCTTTCTAAAGCAAAGACATACTGCAAGTATAATCATTAGTTTAACTTTCACAATGCTTAAAAGTAAACAAAATGGGGGAAAAATGCAACTGAATACTAACCCAGTTCCACAGTAGTACATTTATTGTATTTAAAGTAAAGTCTCTGAACACAATCAATGATCAAATACAGTATCTAGATTAACTGTTTTAAAATACTTTCCCTCCATCTCTTGGCCACACCATGATGATTCTCTGCATTTCTCATTTTACATACCTTGAAATTTTTTTTCTAAGAGGTCCTCAAGATTTCTAAGTGAGTTGAAATTGTAGCAAGTTTCCTACTGGCACAATATAATGTTAAAATGAACTCAAGCAAAACTTGACATCAGAACTAGTTTTATTTAATTTTCCCATCTCTAAGTTACCTGTGTTAAAATATGTCTTCTGTAGAGTTGGGCTGTTATATGCTTTGTATTGATTTTTAGCTCTAAAGCTAATATAATGGTTTAATACAACATAAAAAGGATTGTGACAGATCAGGCACAGTGGCCAAAGGGAGGGCCTGTGTATCCAAAAATGTGTCTCATTTTTTGCAGTTCGCATAGACTTTTGTGCGAACCCTAGTAATTTCTTACCAGAATTGAAACACTGCTATTGGCCAGCACTGTTGCTGATAAGCTCTGGTTACAATGAAAATTAATAAGAAGGGAGCATTTGGATTTAAATGTTTACATCAAATATTCAAGCAACTTGTGCTTAAGTTGCTAGTAGATACATGTTTGGCTGCACAAATTATCTCAGTTATGTGTTTTGCAGTCTGTTTAACCACCTGTTGTTGACTCAATTCTTTGTACAAAAATGCTGAATAATTTTAATTTTTTTTCAGTTTAATGTCTTGTCAGTTTAGATACAGAGGGAGGAGAGGCTGGAGTTATGCTTTGTCCTCAGGCAAGGGAATTGTTCATCAAATATTTTTAATACACTGCGAGAATTTCAAGAAATTAAACATGTACTGCTTCTAGACTGGAAAGTGCCATTTTGCTTTTCTGTATCTCCTATTCCCTCTGAAAAATGCTAGTAATCAAGTTTGAATACTTATAATTGAAAATTAGGGCTGAAAAATGTTAAACGTGCCACACACTGTTTAGTATCAAACAATTTTGAATATTGCCTCCAAATTTGTATAGTGGATATCAGTATTTAGTACTGATTAGATACTGCAAATGAACAATTTCTTGACCCCTCAGAAAACCAGGCAAGCAGGCCACCAACAGATACTTCGGCAAACAAGCGAACTGCTGAAGGAACAACCCAGGTAGGTTGTTGCTTATGTTTCTGTATAAAATTCTAAAGTTACAATCCACAGGAGAAAAGTTCTTTATTGCTCATAATGAAACAACTTTAGTTTCTTTTTTGTGCCATCCTTTCTAGTTTCTGTCCATTTGTATTTTTCTTCTTCTAATCTAGAGCATTACTTGGAGCATGAGCTTCTGATAATCTTTTCAGAAGTTTTCTGATGGGGTTTGTGTAAGTAGATGAGTTAATAATTCAGGAGCACGCTAAAATGTGTCTGATACAAGAGAGCTAACATACAAAAGAAAACCCTGCCCAGTTTTTGTCTGAAGAGCTTGAACTTAAAACTACAAATATTTTTCAAATTATTGCAGTGCTCTCATTTCCACACTAATCCAGAAGTTAATAAGAATTGGGGTTCTAATATTTCATTGTCATATGTCATTAAAAAAAAAGGAAAAGAAACTTTCTTCAGGAATAAATACTTCATGATAAAGGAAAACTTGCTGTACTTCTGGATTCCTCATCTAAGATTTGTTGAACTTGCTTTGAAAGGTTGACATTAAGCTATTTAACATTATTCATAATAAATTTTATTTCTGCATACAGATATTTCACAAAGCACCTCTTACATTGCTGTTAACTGGAATAAAATTAATTTATTCTAGCCAAAATTTCCACATTTAATAGTATTTCAAGTTACAGTAAAATCTGAATTGTATTTCAAAGCAAGAAGAAAATATATTGGACAAGATTCTTTTTCACCTGTTGCGGAAATAGTCTGGCAAAGATAACCACTATCGTAAACTGTGCCTCACTCTACCTTTTTATTAAGGCATTTCATAAAGAATGGTTGTTTGGAACTTCATTTTTCAAAGATACCTGTGGATTATAGCTATCAAAACATTTGTCAGTACTTGATATGGATATGTAGGAAATTCAATTCCAGAATGGATGACACATGTATGGTGTTAAAATTTAATTTTCAATGTAAGATGCCTGTTTTGGAGTTTTTCTTCTTCGGTAGAGCCTGAAACCCGGAAAAGATTTTTGGAAAAACAGATTGTGTGTGATAGTGGTATTTAGCAATGAAAGGTGAGCAAGGACGGAAGTAAGACACATGATGCTTTCCGGTTTTCAGTCTTTGTTATAGTGTACGTTTCTAGGTTTGCTTTCAGTCAAATCAGTTAAAGCATGTGTAATGCCATGGTTAATAAAGAAGGACCTGATGCATTTTAATTGGCTAGTGAGGTATGGAATTGACATGCCATATCATTTGAAAAATCCAGTTAATGCCACCTGCTTTTTATTATGTAAAATCCAAAATATTATGTATTACTCCGCACTTCACAGCTCTCAGAACAAAAAGTAGTTCGCTGTGTGCCGTATACCTGTGGCATATTTGATGGTACAACTTTGATCAATTGTTTCGAAAAGCAGTTGAAACAGGAAGAGACTTCATCAGAAAAAAAAGAAGCAGTAGAAGCAGCACAGATGAATTTTAACTTCCCCGAGGATGTCCTCTTTGGCTTGGAGGAAGAGGAAGAGGATGCTAAGAGCATCAAAAACACCCACAAGCAGACTGGTTGGGCAGCTAACGTATTAAAACAATGGCTGGCCAAAAATGGCAAGGATCCTAGCTTTGAATTGGTACCAGTAAATGAACTCAATGATACCTTAAGAGAGTTTTATTACACAGTAAGGAATCATGATGGAAATACCTACAGTGTGGCAAGCTACAAGTCAATACGTGCTGGCTTAAACCGGCATCTCAGAATGCCACCTTATAATCGTCAGATTTGCTTAATGAAGGACAAAGAGTTTGCTAGTGCAAACATGGTATTTGTGAGCGTGCTGAAGATGCTGCGCATGCAGGGAAAGGATGAGACTCGCCACCATCCTCCTATAGCTGCTGAGGACTTGCGTAAGATTAAACAATCCGGTGTGCTGGGATTGCACAGTCCACTGGCACTCGTCAACAAGGTGTGGTTTGATTTGCAGTTGCATTTTGCCAAACGAGGGAGGGAAATTTTAAGAGATCTGGCTCCAGATGCTTTTGTTGTTGAGAAGGACAAGAACGGGCGTCGATATGCTATGTTTAGGTATCCTGGCAAAGGAAAAAATGGAGAAGATCCTCATAAAATGGCTAAAATGTATGATATGCCGGGGGACCCAAACTGTCCTGTTTTTTCCTTGGAGCTTTATTTGTCTAAGTTGCCTCCAGAGCCCCCTGCCTTTTACCTGCATCCTTTAAAGCTAACATCAGAGCAAATGCAAGAACAGCCTGTCTGGTACAAAAGAGAACCAATGGGTGTGAACTTCTTAAGTACCATGATGCCCAGGATAAGTGTGGCAGCCAGGCTCTCTCAACGATATACCAATCATTCTCTCCGAACTACCACCATCCAGCTACTGTGTGAAGCGGGACTGGGGCCTAGAGAAATAATGGCAGTGACAGGCCATCAGTCCGAGTCTGCTATTAGACACTACTGGGGAGCTGCAGAAGTTCGCTACAGGGCTTGGTCAGATGTAATGGAGAATAATGCCCCCAATTACCTATATAGCAAGATCCCAAATGAAGTGATAAAAGAATCACTGTCTGGTGCCTCCACCTCTTCTGTAAACCACGTTGTTCTAGAACAAAGCAAAATTTTATTCCCTAAGAAATCTGTGGTGCCGCCTGGCACTAATTCTGTGACTTTCGTCCCTGAGGGACACCCAGCTCTGAATTCCAAAAGCTCCGTCCTGTTGAACCACAGTTCTTCTAAGGTGTTTGTCCCTACGAACACGGCCAGTGGGAACCTAACTGCTGGTCCCCTTCAAGGCTGTTGTAACGAACCTGTCTCTATAAAGCCTGTGATAAAACAAGAACCAATGACTTGATGCTTCTGTAATGGAACTGATTTCAAATTAATTGCTAAAATGGAAAAATTACCAGTTTTGTTTTTTTCACTTGGTCTACTAAGGAAATTTCATATGGTCTTGTTCAGCAAGAAGTATCCTGTTCGCACTCCTGAAGTGACCTATGGAACAGAAACTTAAGCAGAGCAGGGCTTGGAGTTTGTATGACTTTCTGTGGCAGCTGGGACTCTTTAAGTGGCTGAGCAGAGCTATTTTAAAAAAACGAAAGGGAGATACTGATATCCACTTAGCTGAAGAACTACACTTTCTTCACTAAGTGCATGGCTTTTATATTTTGTGAAGAGTGTATTTATTATACCATTTTGTGCCTGCTGGCACTAATGTAGCATCTGACAAATCAAATACTTGATTACTGAAGAGCACGGAGAAAGTAGAAGCTGAATGAAATAGACACAGATACACTAAAATATATACATATGCATGAAAACACCTGGAATTGCTTGACCACTGTCACCCTCTCTGTTCAAATTGTTATTGGATCTACCAGAGAATTGTGCCTTTTCAAAAAAAAAAAAAATTACTAAATTGATTTTTTTTTTTTCTGTGAGCTACAGATTTGTATTGCAGGTCTTTGCTTTTCCTGTTTAATATTTCTGGCTCAGATTTCAGTCATTCTGTTCTTCAAAGGCACTGTTTGATACAAATGATAGTAAAATTGGGATCTCTTCAGTTGTGCATGAAATGGGGAAAATGGTCTCAAAAGAGTTGAGAACAGGTTTGTTGCTTAAATGGCAAGTAATTAGAGTTGAAGTGTTGTCTCTGTATGTGCTCATTTTGTGAGGGGTGTTTTTGTATTTCCTCTCACCTACCCCTTCCATTACATTTCACATTGTCTTTGCAGTATAGTCAGTATAGTCTTTGTCAGTATAGTATAATTCAGAAGAAGTGCATCCTGTTCTTCCCCATCAAACTCTATCCAAACATTATTTTTGGTTTTAACTTCTTTAGATTAGTTCACTGTAGTAAACTGATCCTAGCATTACATTTTTCCCTAGGAGATTTTTACAGGTTAGAAATTCTCAGGATAGTGGATGTGAATTTTGTTGGAGAAATGAAATTGTAGTTTAAAAGGCTCTTTAATAAAAAAGAATTAGAGATTAGGAGGGCTAGTCATAGTTTGTTTTTAATGACTCACACTAACTCATGGTTTGTCTCTGCTAATCTATGTCATGATTTTTGTCAGAGATTCTGACAAATCGAGAGATCTTCTGTAAATAAAAATGGAAAACAGGTCATCAAATCACAAATTATGGTAGGTCCACTTTGGAAGAAGAAACGGTGTAGCATTTAAAACTGTTTTCTGTTATAGTAACTGAATGAAATAAGAACAGCTTCATCCTTTTGAAATGCGTGTGTGTATGTGTGTACACACATGTGCCTGCACACACGGTTTATCGCACTAAGAACTTCACTGGAAGTGTTCATGTTGCTCAGCAGTGGACACAATAAGGAAAAATCCCAGCTGAAATAACAAATTGACCATGATAAACTCTGAAATCTGTGGAGAAATTCCTTGCTGGGAAAGGCTTTCAAATATTAAATGAGATTTACCACTTTGTTATAGTCCGAACAGAGAACTTGATGCCTGAACTTTGGAGTTTTTATCTTGGCTGATAACGTTTACCTTTGTGGCCTTGGGTAGGTTATTCATACTTACTGCATCAATATTCCAAAGTGTTAAGACCATCACGGTATGTTCCATTTTCTGATGGATCATGTTGAAGATTAAAAGGTTCTGAAAAGTGCTATATTCATCTTACGTATTGTGTTTACAGTCACTTTTATTTGCTGTTGTTACAATGATTGAGCTAGTTGCTCAGATAGAATTGTTAATGTAAAAATTACTTCTGCACAATCATACACTTCCTTAGTTGCAGCATTAACTTACGACATCAATGACTAGAGGAAGGAAATCACGGATCCAGGATTATCATTTTGTCAAGCCTCAAGTAAATCAGATGGAAATGGTAAAGAAAGTAATCCTTTCTAATGGCTAGAAAGAAGAAAAATTGAAAAAATAAAGGGCAAATGGTTCTCAAAATATAGAACTGTGCAGTAACTTGTTCTAGGATATTTTAGACTAACATAGATTTCCAAATTTTATGAATTCATACAATTCATAATTCAGCCAGACTTGCAACTTTAATTTCTTGTTTGAAAAAGTTTACTCTAAACTTTCACGAAAATGGGTATGTATTATTTAAAAAAAAAAAAAAAAAAATCCTGTCTTTGTCTCAGGTAGTTGCTTGTTCCAGCACACTGATGTTGAACACTTATCCTGCAGAAATACGAGATATTGCCAGGAGATCTTTTTTTTTTTTTTTTTTTTTTTCCCTTTTTCTGCATACTGTGGTCATACTGACCACACGCCCTGCTCTGATCCTAGCTGCATCTCGGTAACTTACTGTAACAGCATACTGCTGATTGTTTCATTCCTTAACACAAGTCTAGTTGGTGGTTTAAATTGAAAAAGAGGCTCTTTTGGCCAATCTGGGCAAGTCTGTGATTCTTTTTAATTATCATTTGGCTTCTAACCTGACTTCCATTTTGTTGGCTCATAATTGGATAGTTTTGCCTTCTCATTTGTTGAATTCTAGTTCTATTGGCACCAACTATACAATGTCCTCTTACTACCTTCAGTTTGAACCTGATACTTCAAAGCTACTGACTGCAGTATTACTAGCTTTTTATTTCTGTACGGGAGAAATTTTTTTTTTAAATGAGAAAAAGCATTCCTGGTTTGGGCTGGAAGTATTATTGCTTCACAAGAGCTGGAGTCGATGTTCACTAAGCTTTCTGCTAATACTTGAATTAATTCTAATTCATACAATAGATTTCTAACCTTCCAGAACTGAAAAAGCTTTCTCCCTTTCTCCTGTTCCACCTCCCACCCAAAGTGTTAAATGAATCTTTCCTACATGTATTTCCTGTCTGGAAAAGCTGAAGTGGGCAAACAGAATGGGTGTTTGTTTTGCTGCTTTTGTAAAGTCAACTTTGGCTATGTATACAGTAATATGGGGAGCAGAGGGTCTTTTTTCTTTTTCTTTCTCTTTCTCTCACAGTGTAAAAAAAAAAAAGTTTCAAGTCAGTCCTGTTCATTGCAGTACAGGTTATGCTGTGTGAATGTCATGAATTCTGTCAAAGTGGGCATGAATTGGAATCCTCAGTGGCAGTATCAGCAGAGAATCTCAAACAGCAGGATAACTTGAGTTCCGTGTGCTGATTTTGGGGGTTGTTTTTTTTCCTCCTTTCCATTATATTTCCATTGTAGGAGAAGCATGTTGGTGAGCCAACAGGTTAAGTAGTTTGTCTAAACTTAGATATAGACTTTGGCTGTAAATTTAATACAAAATTGTTAATCATAATTTAAAATTCACTTTAAAATCTGAATATAAAAAATATAAAAAGAAACTTATGATCTGTCATTCCTGGATTTTCTGACTAGATCTTTTCCTAAAATAAGAATATTTCATTTCAGTTGCAAAAAACCAGCACTTCACCTTAACCAGGTCAACTAAACTAATTTTTTTAAGTAATGGCTGCCATGTCATTGATTAAATTCCATTCCCCTTGATGGAGATGATGCTGAAAACAGTAGGGAATGACTGGAACCTTATATAATTCATCCATATATTTAGTTTTCCATCTAATTTTCATAATGAAGCTTTGGTACCGGTGCTGTGAATCTTGAACTTGTGTTTTCTCTCCTTTTACCTGATAAGTTTGGAAATCTCTGCTGTTACTTCAAGGAGTACCTTAATTATTTTTTATTTTTATGAAGTTGGCACAGTATCTTACAGTATGTTAATTTTTTTTATTCTTGTATTGCTGTTTAAGTAATTCATCCTTGCTGTAAGGTACTGTGATCTACAGTCTGGGAGATCTAGAAGGTAAATGTTCTTCACTGTATGCACCTTCTCTGTGCCCCCTGAAGAGCTCCATTGTGTACAATGTCAAGTACCTGAAGGCATTGGGAGGATGCTTTGAAACTGAGTGTGTTCTTGGCTTTATTGTGGTTTTTAGTCTGGTACATCTCTTTTTCGTTACCCTGCACTATGCCTCAATAGTTGCATACTGTTTAGGTCAGTATAGTCGAAATTTCCAGTAAGCAGCTTGGACATATGATTCTGCTGTATGACTGCTTCTCCTTTTTCAGCCTTCCTCTGCTTCTTGCTCCAAAAGGAATGGCCACAGGGATGTGGGAGGAGGCTTCTTACTTGTTAGTCTCTAAACTTCGACTTTTTCCCCACGTACACAGAAATGTAAGGGTTGTTATTCAGTCCCAGTCATTTTCCCAATGGCCGTTCCAGTGCCTCAGGTCCTAGAATTGCATATCTGAAAACATGACAAGCACTTTTAATGTATTGGGGTTGTTATTGTTACAGAGGCAAAGTAATTTTTAATTATATAACAAATCTTTAGAATGGTTTTAAAGTATTTTATTATGAATCCAGTTATAGATACAGGATTTATATATATTATATATAAATACAGCTATGGTATACTGATGGAATCTATGAAAGCAGCTTTTATTATATTGTGACATTAAATAACAGTGAACAAATTTGAATGGGGTTGGATGTGTTAAAAATGGCCAGCATAAACTCAATTTGTTCAAGAGTGGTTACGTTATATTTATTAAAACGCCGGGTCAGGTGAATAGTCTTTTCTTCCCTGTTCCCCACTCCAGGTGCACCTTATCCTCTTACGGAGTAATTATTTTTTCAGTCTATATTTCATCTGTGCATTTTACCTTTTCAGCTACTATTAGTTTTGTTTTTTAAAAAAAAATCCACCAGTGTCCTATCCATTTCCCATTGTTTCTAACATGCCTTGATTTGTTTGGTTGAACTACAGTTTAATTTAAGCTATTTTGCTGCCTATTGGAAATTCATCTGGTAAAATGTTAATAAAGTACATTTATAGCTTCTATCCCTTTACTTTGCAATGTGTAACAAACT